ACAGATTAGCGAAAGTTAATCACTACACCTTGACGAATAGCTAACTGATTTTATACTTTTGACGTGTAATGTGTGTCTAGTCCTTCATCTGCTGAAGTGTGAATTCTATCAGTCAAGTTTGCAATGTGACCACCATGTCACTAAGTGGCTTGCCATCACGGTGCACTTTGAATTGTTGATACTAGATGGCTGGAGGCAATCGGCCAAAGGAAGTCTTGCTGGGATCCATCTAGGTTTCTTACTAGGTGGCACTCATCACCAAGGTGTATCTGCAACCGAATAGTTCAGTAGTAACGTCTCTAACTGCAGGTAGCATTAGGTGACACGGTTTTGCAACTCAAAAAAGATATGAGTCCCTTCCTGTAGGGTTGCAGATACGCCGCTGCCTTGCTGACTGACTGACTGACTGGTGGTGAGTGCCAACTAGCACAAAACCTAGAGTACGTGCCAGCAAGGCTTCCTGTGGCCACCGATTGCCTCTAACCATCTAATGACTGGTTTTAAAAGATAAGTTCTATAATCGATCAGAATAAGTCAAAGAAAAGAAAAAGCAAAGAATCAGAAATCACTAGACAGGTGTTTGTAACTCTCCAAAAGCGTACACAACCATAGCCACACCACATACCTAATCATATATTCATCCAATAAAGTCGGAATCCTATGGAATTTTGATTTCCAACTTTTACCATTTCTGACATTGGTGATGAAAATTGATCCCTTCTAACTTATTTTGAAATGCCTACGAATAATCACTTAAACCATTTATACGAACTTCAGTGAGAGGCCAAAAATACAAGAGAAAATGTGGCTTAATTACTTCTTTCACCTAACAGTGAATTGACAGCAGTATAATAAACCGTTAAGGAATCCAGATTCCAGTACACAGCCGCACACACGCACACATACACACACACACAACTACATGCAGGACCACGTGCATACAGAAACCTACAAGCATAAGAAAAATGCAAAAAACAATGTGTAACCTTTAAGGTATCAGGCATAATCTTTTTTTAAAGCATATAATTGTGGCACAATTTAGGTCGACAGAATAGTTTATAATACTGAAGGATCGAAAGGTAGTTTATACAAGACTGTTTAGACATATATTGTAGCCCCCACCTGGATATACACACGCACGCACGCACGCACGCAAACATGTATACAAACAGACAAAAACATGATAGAAAAACAACCTTTAGAACAGCATATTAAACATGCAGAAGAAGAAATATACGATCATTAGAAAGGAAGTTGGATACCTTTCTAGTCAAAACAGTAGTAAATTCAACTAGTTCACCAGAGGTACTTCTTCTTCTGTTCAGTAAGTGAATCCCAGCTGAATATTTCTCACCTCAGATACCTTTCTGAAATAGTTCATAACATGCATGTTTTCTGTACCTAATATTGATGAGGTAAAAGTTGAACGGTACGATTACAAATGTTAGTCATATCGAGTGACTTCCGGCATACGTACACGTGCGTTAGGCCCGGCCGACAACTGCTACCTTGCCGTGGCGGTCGGATTTTAAAACCACAGTGACTCAACAAGCTAAACTGGCTCGGACTCATGTTTCTGCAGGTCCTACCATGTCAGGAAGGTTGTTTGGATAGCGGTTAGACTAAAAACCAGTTACCATGGGGTATATGGGCTCCAGAATCCAATCGGATCAAATGGTGTATGAACTCATATGGGTCACCGGCAAATATGAAAATGCAGCTTCTGACGCTGCTCCGCTGCCCTGTGGATTAGACTCCAAGTCAAAGGCTCGGAGGGTGTGGCTCCTTAAGAAAACCAACCGCATAATGAAGGCTAGGGTGACATACATCAACTTGAGCCACCTCCAGCGCCGTCGCGACGTTAGCCTGGCTGTCGAAGATCGGGTATACAATGCTTCGGTGCGGGTTGTCTCGCTTCACGCCTATGGAACCTGACCTCTCCGAGCTGAGGATGTGCAGCGACTCTGTGTATTCGATTATCGCTATCTCCTCAGGATTGCTTGCGTTCGATGGCATCATCGCGTGAGTAATTCCGAGGTTCGGCGGCGTGTATTCGAGAACAGTTGAGATCACCATTCGTTGACTGTCGTCATCTGGAAACACCGGCTCCGGTGGTTTGGACATGTACTGTGAGTGTCATCCCAGAGGCTTCCGTACAGGTCTCTGTTTGCCAACCCTTTGATGGGATGGAAAAGGCGGAGAGGTGGTCAGTCCATGACGTGGCGTCGTGGGATGAAGGGTGTTTGTGCTAGATTAGCATCGGTTGGTGAATCACGACTCCCTGGTTGGGGTCCGCGAGAGAGCTCGAATCGATGACTCGAAACGTTATAGGATATGGCCAAGAATCGCTATCATCAATGGCGAACGTGCTGCAATTTCCTTCTTTCTTCCCTTCCCGATGATACTCAATGAATACTGATGTAACTTGTTAAGCATGACTGTTTTCCATCCAGATGAAGTTCTTTATCCGTTCTCTACTTATATTTTTTACTTTTGATCTATGTTGTTCTATAATTATTGTGTGGCGCATCTTTCTTGGTGCCATATTGTACCAAATTTCTTCTGCGTTTAAATAAAATAAAATAAAAACCTGACTGAAACACTGGTTTCAAAGTAGAACTTTGCATAGATTGGCACCAGTTCCACTTGCCATTCTTCCTTCTTGTCCCATCACACAAATCAAGAGAAGAGAATAAAGGGTGATTCAATACAGAGAGACAATATACGAAAGTGTGAGTGAAGGAAAAAGACAAGTGATATGGGAGGAGAGCAATAGAGTTTTATTGGATATGATAAATCACAAAAAGTGAATACATCTCCACCAGCTATTGACAACGATGATTTTTTTAACCATATCACCAATTTTATCCAGTAGACAATGAATGGTGTGTTACCCTCCCAAGGATCCCGACCAGACAGCCAGTCAGTCACTCTATAACTCCAGACGTGGCTGACTCCAGATTGGTTTAAACTAACTAACTGTTGTGGATTTCACTGACTACTAATGAGTTCATGTTTTCGTTTGACCGCCACTAGCTAGCTAGCTAGCTAACTCTTTTCCAACCTCATCCACACCCTATGTCAGTAGGCTAAAATTATCCGTCATTGAGGAAGGCGATCGATAGCACACACTGGTATGCGTAAAACACCATGTCCTAACCATCTCAATCAAGGTGTCAACAATAAAAATATCAATGACAACACGCATATCAAACATGCACAAGAATAATGACGACACACCAACAATAGGCTATTAAAAATCTCCATTAGTGAGTACTTCAATAAGAGAAAAAAAGAAGCTCGGAGACAGAGAATTCTTAACAATGCAAGCAGGCAGGAATAAAAAAAAGTGGCTGGCATTCAAACGGCCCGCACAAACTACACAATTAAAGACAAGTTTTGACGGTTGAAGGATCAATTCTGTGGAGCCAATCAAACAAAACAATTTAGTCTATCTAACGCCCTGGCTGCGATGATTGTCAAGTCAAATACATAGATCAAAGTAGTAGAATGGGGCAAGTCAGTCAGACTAGCGGACCACAAAAGTCTAACAACAAAATCTAGATTTGTTAAGCTGACACTAAGATAAGAAATCTGGGGTGTAGTTCAGCTAAAGCACTACACAACATGCAATTACACACAACCATACCAACAGGCTGGATGAGATAAGACGACAGTTTTAAAATCTAATACAACTAACAGGGTGGAGGGAGTGATTGATAATTGAAGCTTTATTTATCGAATCAACTGACAGTGAATACGTGTAATAGGAATGATTCAACACCTGTCCACCCAGAAATCGGGAAAATTCTACTAGCCCTACGACAAATAGGAGAGAATAAAGAATAAAACTATAAAACTCGAGTTTCGAAGTTGTGTGATTATAATTGATGAAATGATTATGAACAATGAAATAAATTATGCTCGAAAAGCGTCGTCATGCAGTAAATAATAATACTGTTTCACTCATTGTGATATATATACATATATGTTAATTAGACTCAAGAAAGTAACGGCAAACACCTCTCTTTACTTTATCAAGCTAGCAGTACCTCAAACTACTACTAACAATTAAATGAAAGTAGTAAGACAGTATCACACATAATTTGTCTATTACACAATAGTGAAAAGTAACAAGTTGGCAGAAGAAGTATCAAAGATAGGGCTTCACTTCAGGTGAACATAGAGGAAACAGAGGTGATGAAGATTCCTGGCCAACAACAACAACAGACAACAATCAGGCCAGCATAAATGGGAGGAACCTGAAAGAAACAACCTCCTTTACCTACCTACCTGGGAAGCATCGTTTCAACTACAGACGGATGGAACTGATGAAGATATCAGGGTGAGGATCGGAAAAGTAAGACAAGCTTTTATTACTCTCAAGTCTGTGTGGAGATCAACAGTACTACTCAGGATGAAAAATAAGATCCGGATTATCAACTCCAATGTGAAGTCAATCAGTGCTACTATACGGATCAGAGACTTGGCCAGCGCGTCATAAAGAGCACATCGAACAAACTACAGACCTTCATTAACAGCTGTCTTCGCTCAATACCACTCAAGATCAGATGACCGGCAAGGAAAGATCAGCAACAGGGACCTCTGGGAGCGAACGAACCCAGCAGGAACCGACTGTACAACATATAAGCCGGAAAAAATGGAGATGGATTGGCCATACGCTGAGGAAACAAACCATCAAGTGACATCACTAGACAAGCCATCGCTCGAGTGGAACCCGAAAGGGAAGAGGCGAGTGAGTCGTTAGTGTGAGGGTGACTTGGAGGAGGTCATGTGAAGAGGAGATGAAAACATGTGGGTAGACTTGGGGCGGGGTGAAAAAGTTGGCAGAAAACCGAACGCAATGGAGACGTGCGTGGCTGAAGCCCTATGTTCCTCTAGGAATTAAAGGAAATAATAATAATACTCTAGTAGGAATCATTATTATTCAATGGACTTGAATACTATCTACATCACATCATTCTTTATACAACACTAACCTTTTTGATCACCTTCAATTGTATGTTCATATAAAGCAAACTTTTGAGGATTATCACGTATACCAAATCGATCGAGTAATGCACAAATCACCATTTGTGCAGTTGTTGACCTAAGAAAGAAAAAAACACAATTAAATTACAATGAATTTAAACTTATGATGTCAGCATAGAACAAATGGCAATAGTAAAATTAATTAGTTAATTAAGAAGACGAGAACAAGGTGGAACACTAAAAAGATCTATCTATTGAAAGCCGATATAGAACGCGACAACTGCTCACTAACTTTCATAGTTTAGTGCCTGTGCATACTAAAACGAAACCTAATCTATGCACTCAGCCAAAAATTTGCAACCCTGACACTATGGAAGAACAGCAACTGAAAGATTCTTACACTATGCCGGTAACTGCTTTTAGTCTAATCGCTATCCTAACAACCTTCCTGGTATGGTAGGACCTTCAGGAACATTGGTTCCAGCCAGTGTAGCTTGTTGGGTCATCGTGATGTGCAAGCCCGGCGACCACCACGGCGTCAAGGTAGCAGCTATCGGTCGGGATCCAGTATTCCCTTACTAGTAGTCACCAACACCCACCAAACAACATCACGTGAGTCAACGGACACCGTTAAAGAGTTCGCAACAAATAGCAGACGACTTGTAAACAGAACGGGAAATATAGAATTAACTTAAACAAACAAATAAAAGCACTGTTTATCTCTCTCTCTCTGGTGATTCCCTAAACCACTAATCGATAATGGGGTTATATGATCTACCGAATCAAAGATTTGATCCATTAGACCGTTGATACTGATATAATATGAATAAATTAATTCGAATAAATTATAAACACGTTTGTGCAGAATAAAAGATGGTACCATCCTTTGTTTATTACGTTGGCTTGTTTACAGCCCAAAGATATTATTAAGCTTATGTACACAAAGTTTTAACACATATACAGAAAGTTCATTTTAAAACCAACAAAATCAATATATGCAATATATATAATAATCACTTTATCCCAAACAACAATAATAATCATACACAATGGAATCCTTGGAGTTACATAATCAAGTGAAAGAGAGGATGAAAACATAAAGTAACCAGGTTGGAGCAAGAAAAAACTGATAACCGCCTTATTCTGAACACATTAATCTGGTTTCAGGCACTTGATGGAAATCTTTCTGACAAAATTGATGAGAATTCAACTCTTCTGCCTATGTATGGATAATTTTGAAGGATCTTGCAACATCCACCCCATGACTTGTGTCAAAGAGATGCCTGACAATGGCACTGTTCAGAGCATTTGTCCCCCACCCACTGGAGACGTAAGCGTTTTATAGTACATGTTCAGGAAATCGGAGAGGTGTGTGCCCTTCTTCTTTCCCTTCTCCCAATGTAACTGCCCCTGTACAGTTGGAGTTAAGATGAGAAGGGTATCTGTCGACTTTTGATTGCAACAATATCATGTTATCCGATAAACGGGAACCAATTTAGCTATTTGCAGAGCCAGAATGGGCTCTGGCTAGTGGTATATTCGACCTTCTATTGATTATTCCTGAAATATTATCACCTTTCAAATCAAGTAGAATGAAGATAGGCTTCCTAACCACTGTAATTTGTCAGGCAATAGAGCCATGACAACTTCCATAATTGTAAATAAATTTCTCAGGGTAACCGTTGTTTTTCAACATCTTTTCGAGAATCAGAAATTCTTCCTCTATTTTGTCTGTAAAGCATATTCTCCTGACTGACTCTATAGAACAGCAGTCTTGACTAGTGTTCATTTATAGCTATTTGGATAAAAACTGTTAAAATGCAAATATTGCCTATTCATTCTATGTTATAAGACTAGCTGTCTTTGATCATAGGTACCTGCGCTCTATTTCCCGTGTAAAGTGGCATAATAAGGTGAGCAACATGGAGCTTAGGCGTAGAGTTCTAGGTAAACAGGGGTAATCAATCGACGAAGTTGTGAAGTTACAAAGACTGAGATGGTCAGGACATGTGTTACGTATGCCAAGCCATCGCCTCCCTCGACGAGCAATGTTAGCGGATATAGGGTCAGGCTGGAAAAGTGAGAGCTAGCGGCGGTTAAACAAAAACTTGGCCTCACCAGTCAATGAAATCCACAACAGTTGGTCTAAGCCACGTTGGAAGGTGTACACTTCCAGTCTGGGGTCCTCAGGACGGTAAAAATCAGTGGTTGGAAACAATTGGTGACATGGCTCAAAATCGTTCTCAATGGCTAGCGCAGATGCATCCACTCCTTGTGACTTATGATCTCCAATGAAACTGTTTTGTATTTCTTTATTACTCCTTTGTCTCACACCTCTGCTCAGTTTCTATTATGCTTTTCTTGTACTTTCTTCTCTTGCTTCGCGTGGTACACGGAGTGTGGCGACTTGAACTGTCCCACATTTGTGCAAAGTTCTATGTCGAAAACAGACAGACATTCATTCTATGTGGGCTTTTGGTAAATTGACCTCTAGAGTACACTATCGTCCACGCGTTACATGGCAGTGTCATGGAAATGAAACTTTCCATCATGATGGAGAATGATAGTAGGTAGGAAATATGATTTTCATTGTTCAACACTACAAATATGTCACCTACATATCTGCAATAAGAAGTTGTTTCGTCGATTGAATGCGTTCAAGGTTGGACATAAAGATATCTGATACAAATATCTGTTCAAGAATGAACTCTCTGAGGATGTATGGTAAGTATGGTAAAATTGTTTCCGTAGATGAACTTAATAATGTCTTTACACTGTAAGCAAACAGCTGATGAGAAACCGACAAAACAAATAAAGGATGGTAGCATCTTGTATTTTGCACAAACCATTGTTGTTCTTGCATTATTCAAAATTAAAGATTTGTAGGGTAATACCACTTATAACTACCACTTTCGGTGTGTCACTTTACCTTTCATTCTTTCTGTTCAGTTATTTTTAAAAATTTTAACTTGAGAGATTAGAGTTGTTGTAACAATTAGAACATGTAATACTCTTTGTTAAGTGCTAAGCGTATTGATTACCACTTGAAAGTGAATAGGTTGCAAGCAATGTAGCTAAATAAATAAAATACTTTAGATACCACACCTCATTTATGTACATATTAACTACACAGATAATTTACCGCGCCTAGTTTACTAGCTTGCTAGTTCCTTAGCCGGTCCCAAGCCCTCAAAAAGTGGTAGGGTTGGGCGTGCGGCTGGCGATCCTACCCCAGAAAATCAATCGAACCTCTACAGAAATTTCAACGCACAAGAAGGAGTATTAAAAATACAAACAGTTTAAAAGGCAAACCTTTTCTTCGCTGGAGTCGTCGAGGAGAAATGACGCGGGCTGGTAGAAGCCCACCTTCGGGAAACCAGTCAGCCAATGTGCTTCTGATGGAAGCAATAATAAGAATGGGGACGTGGAATATTTTCACAATGTACGAGGCTAGCTGGAAAGGCTGCCCAAGGAACCAAAGAAATGAGAAGGTATAGTATAGAAGTACTGAGAATCTGCGGGAGCAGATGGAGTGGATGTGGACTGTCAAAATTGATAGCTGGAGAGTCAGTTATCTACTCCAGTCACCTACTAGGACGACAGATACGAGAACATTGAGGCAGTGAGTGGTTATCATGATATCACCAGTGGCAGCCAAAGCTCTAATGCAGCGGGAATCAATCTCCCCCTGCAGGATGATGACAGCAAGATTCAACTCAAAAGAAAGGAAAGTTACAAGTGTCCAATGCTACGCACCTACAAGCAACAACTCGGAACAAGAGAAGAAGAAGGATGATTTCCATAGATAACTGCAGACAGTATTGGATAACATCCCTAACAGCGACATCAAAATCCTTATTGCCGGTATGAATGTCAAACTGGGAGCAGAAAATACGGAAAGAGAGCTCATCATGGATCGAGAGACTCGTTCAGAGAAGTGAATAAGAATTCAGAACTCTACGTAGGATTTTTGTCTTATGGAGGATTCTTAATAAAGCAGGAATCAGAGTGGTGGCATTTAAACCTACAAACTCACTCAAGCACGACAAGCTATGTAGGCTAAATGACCCGGTAGGTTGACCCAATTTGACAAAATAATATAATTGACAAAACACCTTGTAATGAGTGTGAGTTAAGTCAACTACATAGGTCAAACTAGTAGATCGGGGTAGTCAGATTGTTGGAACATAAGAATTTAGCAAAGGTTAGAATGATTGACCCCGAGAAGATGAGTAATTTAGAAAGAAGCTCAGCAATTGCACTGCATTCATTAACACACAACCACACAATATGGGAATGGGAGAGGGTTAAAATTCTAAAAAGTAATCTAGGTAGGTGGAGAGCAAGAGAAGTTGATTACTGAAACCTGGTTCATCGAGTCTACATCCAACATGTGCAATAAGAATGACTCATCACTCATACCGGAAATATGGAAAAAACTACTACCAATCAAATCAAGCGATGAAAAATAGCGGAGCCACCATATAAAGGAAGTTAGATAAATATGTGAGTAGTGCCTTAATATGAGATTATGAGCAGTAATGAATTGTTCTCGAAACGTGGTCATCAGTAATAAGTATTACTGTATAACAGACACTGTGAGACTTTATCAAAAAAAATTTTACCCATAATCGAAAGGTGTCTACCGATTGGAAGAAACGCTAACTTATCAAACTACCAAAGAAGAGAGACTTACGCCATTGCAAGAATTGGCGTGGAATAATGCTCTTGTCTACGTCAAGTAAAATACGAAGTCGTATCATCCTAGAGAGACTCGAAGATGTACTGCATACAGAACTTCGCAACTCTACACATCGTCATCGATCAGAGCACAAAATGACAGTCAAACCTCTCTGTTGCCTCAACTACGCCGACTTTGAAATTACCTTCGACAGAGTGTTGACCGAGAAGTAATTAGGAAGCTACTTCAACACTATGATGTGAAGTGCTCAAATACTCGTCATCCTTATCCAACAGCTGGCTATGCTATGTGACAATGCCTGTAACGTGTCAGCTGATGCAAAAAGGAAAACTCAGCGTTACCTGGCTTTAAAGTTAATACAGGAGTAAGCATAAGGACAAGGCTGGTTGCTGGCTGACTATTATCATCGACGATGATCTGCCTAATTGTGGTGGACTGACTGGATTATGCGTCAGACTGTGTATGAGGAGTAAGCAGTTAGGAATACAATGAACTAACGGACACGTTAGACTCTAGAAGATGTGGATTTTGTGTGTGTGAATGATTTATGCTGAATGTCATTCACACAAACTCGAAGACTTGCAGGTAGGTAGACAGACAGGCGAAAATCAACAAACTGTCTGAAGAGGCTGGCAGCGAAGACAGGAATGCAGGTGAACATAGAGGAGGAGGAGGTAGAGACGGAGATGATGAAGTTAACTAACCAACCAACCAACAGAAACAAAAACCAGCACCAATTACCATCAACGCAGCAAAACTTGCAAGAGGTTACTTCCTGACTTCACTTATCGCCTCCCTCGACGAGCAATGTTAGCGGATATAGGGTCAGGCTGGAAAAAAGCTACCGGCGGTCAAACAAAAACTTGGCACCAGTCAATAAAATCCACAACAGTTGGTCTAAGCCACGTGGAAAGGTGTAGACTTCCAGGCTGGGGTCCTCGGGACGGTAAAAATCTATGGTTGGAAACAATTGGTGACATGGCTCAAAATCGTTCTCAGTGGCTAGCGCAGATGCATCCACTCCTTGTGACTTATGATTTCCAATGAAACTATTTTGTTCTTCGTTATTACTCCTTTGTCTCACACCTCTGCTCACTGTTTCCATTATGCTTTTCGTGTACTTTCTTCTCTTGCTTCGCGTGCTACAAGGGATGTGGCGACTTGAACTTCCGCACATTTGTGCAAAGTTCTATGTCGAAAACAGACAGACAGAGACTATCTGGTTAGGAAGTACGATTTCAAACCACAGGCCTCGATCAACATCTACACGTATACAACACAGTGGAAGCATGACAGCATGACCATTTATACTATTTTATTTTTGTGTCCGTGTCTATAAAAAGCAGATATATTATACAATAACAGTCAATTTCTTTTTTTTTATATGAACAATACCAAACAAAACAAAACCAAAAAAATCATCCATTCACCAGAATAAAATTATGACCCTGTATCACATTCATTTTACTCCTACATCTATCTGATTACTGTCATTCTTATTTATTCGTCTATTTGGTTGTCTGATTGCTCACTGGCTATTTCAATCGTTCTTTTTACTCCAAACTATGAAGCAATCGAGTGAATGCATATTCAGCAAGCATTAACACACACACACAAACACACGTGTATTCAAATAATTTAATGCCTTTTTATGTAAAATATCAATTATGACAATCAATAAATAAATATAATAATATATCATTGGTTCTGTTTTCTATATTATGCAATATGTATATGCAGGTTGATTACAGTTCAAAATTAGGAGGGATATACATGATATTACATAAACTAGAGTACATTTTCAAAAGCAAAAAAGTACTAAACACGTGACTGATTATAAATGAATATACTGAGGAGCAAACAATTTTAACCATTGACATATATGCCGTAGGTGAATTTCATTATTTATTGGGAAAAGACCGGACTGGGGATAAGATAACTGGAGAACCAAAAAAGGCGGTAGCTAAAAACTCATCTTTACATGTATAGGTAGGGACTGGTCTCCGCAACAAAGACTGACTGATTGACTGGCTGGATCCAACATAGAACTTTGCACAAATGTGCACCAGTTCCACTTGACACACTGTCTCTTTGTCCAACCCCACACAAAGCACGAGAAGAAAGCGAAGAGAAATTCAAAAGATACATAACAAACAGAAGTGTGAGTGAGATAAAAAGAATAGTAATATGGAAGGAGAACAATAGAGTTTCATTGAATATGAGAAATCACAGAGAGTGAATACATCTCCGCCTGTTATTGACAACACTGTTGAGCCATATCACCAATTGTCTATCCAGTAGACATTGCTTCTTACCATCCCGTGGACACCAACCAGGTAGACAGGAAGTGTACACCTCCCTACGTAACTGACTGACTGGCTAGCTGGCTGGCTTAAACTAACTAAACTGTTGTGGATTTCATTGGCTGATGAAGCCATGTTTTGGTTATGGTTTGACAACCACTAGCTTACTAACTCTTTTTCAACCTTATCAATAATGTTATGGTCAGTCAGCTAACTTTGCCCATTGGTTGAGTAAGGCGATCGATGGCACTACACACTGTGGTTTGCGTAACACATATCTTAACTATCCCCCTCAATCGATGTAGTAGTAGTAGCTTCTTAACCACCTTATCGATTGATTTCCCCTCCTTACCTACACCTACCTACATAGCACTCGACCACCGATGTCTAACTTCAATATTGCTTATCACTTAATATTATGTACTCGTCGCCAAATTATTGTTATATACTGGTCGAGAATTCAATAGTCCTGACGCAAGAAAGACGGAAATCAGAAGACCACTAGGTTTGCGATGATACTTCTATTTTCCAAACATCAGGAGAATCAAATGTATCGCACAATAGTGTGAGAGCGAAATATATATGAATGTCCAAACAAGTGTGTGAGTAAATCAATAGACAGTCTTAACATGATTGGCTAATTATAATGGAGTATCGATCCATATATACATAGCGAAATATAACAGACTGTCAAACAAACACACATATTATATATACTATAAGGGGAATATACATTGTTAAAGGAGACAGGTTCATCAAAGTGAAATGGTCACAGACTAAGAGAGCAACAGAAAGAGAGACCACCATACACACACATATATATATCACTTAACAAGGTGAGCAGTTTTGAGGTTAGACGTCGAGTGCTACGTAAGGAGAGGAAATCAATAGATGAGGTTGTGAAGTTACACCGATTGAGGTGGTTAAGACATGTGTTACGCATGCCAATTTTTTTGGTAACTTTCCAGTGACACTAGCTGGTGGGTGGTGGATTTATGATGAAGTATGTCTTGAAATTAGTTTTACACGTTCACAAACCTAGGAACTGGGGTTAGTAAGAATAGTCAGTCTGTCGTAAAATACGAAACAAGAAGTGTTTTTTACGCTTAAGTGTTACTCTATATGCTTCTTTGTGCTTTAATCGTTTTACTGGTGTTTTGAAGCTATGGATACCCAATTTGATGCTGCCATTTTCTAACTACAAAATGAACAGATGTTTGTAAACACTCAAGGAAAAGCATCTTTCATTGTTTCTTTCTGTATTAGTTCAACCAGAAAGTGTTATGAACCTGCTTTATATATAAACGTCTATCAGTTGATTTGCCCTTTACACAAAGCTAGCTACCTATAGCCTCTGGGCTACAAAAAAGGGCATATACGGTTAAATTATATAAAGATAAGCATTGACGTATAGATAGTTAGTTAGTCAACACACATAACTTAATTTTAATGCAAGCCTGTTAGTTGTTTCGTTACCTGTGTTTTTTTAAGTAGTGAATACGTTAACTGTAAAGGTGTGCATTCTTTTGATATAATTTCAGGTATTCATTTTACATGTTATTCGACTAGAATAAATTGTCTTATAAATTTAGGGGATACATAGATGCAAAATGGAAGGGTTCTTTTTCGTGTCCACTACATCATTTCACAACATTTATTACAGTTATGATAGTTTCGTGTAGCTGTCATGTATGAAAATGTCTGTTTTCGACATAGAACTAGAACTTTGCACCGATGTGCACCAGTTCAAGTTGCCACACTCTCTCTTTTGTAGCACACAAAGCAAAAGAATAAAGTAGAGAAAATGCATTATTGAAATCATTGAAATCCACAAGAGAGTTAAATTAAGCCGACCAACCAGCAGGCACATCGGGAGGTGTAGAAAGCCTTACAGTCTGATTGGGTACCCAGGATGGTAAGAAACAATGACGGCTGGAGACAATTGGTGATTTGACTAGGTCAAAATCGTTCTCGGTGATGGCTGGCGGAGATGCATTCACTCTTTGTGATTTATTATATCCAATAAAATTATGTTGTTCTTCCACATTACTATTCTTATTTCCCTCACTCACACACTTCTGTTTATTATCCCTCCATCTTTTGAATCTCTCACTTTACTCTCTTCTCTTGCTTTGTGTGGTGGTGTACAAGGAGGGAGTGTGACAAGTGGAACTAGTTCACATCTGTACAATTTTTTAGGCTGAAACCAGTCAGTCTCGCATAACTGAGCAAGAGGGCGTCGATACGTGCAGCTAAAGGAATTCAGAGGAAAAATCAAATACTCCTTTGGTTTCAAAATGCCTCTCTATACAGAGACAATTCCTGGGAAAATCCACCTCAAACAGCTGAATGCTTAAAATACACACATATAAACAACTACCTCTTACTACAACTCAACTCTATAAAACATCTTAATGCTGCTCATACATGCTGTACACTCAATCAATTTACTTGTTTACGACTCCTAACCTACCTAGGAAGACAAAAGAACAACGTTCCAATCTAACATTTAAAAAAAACACAAATAAGGCAGGACAAACACTTACAGTCGAACATGCAACAACTTAGTACTCCCTCTGGGCAATCGGAAAGTTGACACTCTAGAGGCTGTTCGACCTAATCGATGACGACGAACTCCAGCAGCATTTTGTCCAACATCATTTGATTTTTCACTTGATAATAAGAAGGCAGGAACATTCGCAGCGCTATAGTTGTGATAGACATCAATATTAGCCCTATTATCACTGGTATGTTTCACAAACCATGGACAAGGATTGACGCTTTCTTCTGTTCCCTCTACCTCATGCTCCTGCTCCACTTCATCATCGCTATCATCGTCCTCGTCTTCATCATCTACACTTTTCGAACCAACTACATCGAATATAGAAGCAGGTCGAGCTGTCAATAACATTCGAATAGGACGAAGTAGGTTTATGTGTACACGAACTTGACCTTCACAATCACATGGATCGATATCAGTCGACTGTAAAAAGAATAAAATAAAAAAATCGCATAAAGATTAAACGAAAATGCAACTTGCTAGGCTTGATACTAAGCCTACGAAAAGTCTTAAAACAATACACTACTAATCAGTTATCTTCACCCCCCGATAGATTCTAGAACATAGACATTCCTACCGGCGGCGTCCAACAATCATTATATTTCTTGACCTTAAGGCGGAATTCAATTCTGTCGACCGAGAGGTTCTCTGGAGATGCTTGGCTGCAAAGGGAATGCCGAGAAAATACATTGAACTGATCAATGTACTGATATGTATCCATTTATATATATATATATATATATATATATATATATATATATATATGTTGGTCTCTCTTTCTGTTTGCTCTCTTAGTCTGTGACCATTTCACTTGTATGAACTTGTCTCCTTTTGCAATGTATATTCTCCCTATATTATATTATATATAATATGAGTGTTTGTTGACAGTCCGTTGCTTGGTGACATATATCCATACATGGTGGTTGTTGACATGTCTGTTAGATTTCGCTATGTATATATGGATCGATACTTCATTATAATTAGCCATTCATGTTAAGACTGCCTAATGATTTGTTCACACGCTTTGTCTGGAACATTCATATATATATTTCGCCTACACAATATTGTGTGACTTTACTTACTTACCACTTTGGTGTGAGACCATTTATTTTCGTCTCCTTGTGTTTGGACAATAGAAGCATCATCGCAAACCTAGTGGTCTTCTGATTTCCGCCTTCTTGCGTCAGGACTATTAGTTTTTCGATCAGTCCATAATAATAATTTAGCGACGAGTACATAACAATTTGGCGACGGGGGAAACTAGTACATAACATGTACTCTACTCGTACTCTTGCAGCCAGCCAGGTGAGGGCTTACGGCGAGTTGTCATCTGAACTAGTGACGACTAGTGGTGTCCGTCAGGGATGCCCATTATCCCCATTTCTATTCAATTTCATCATAGATGTACTCATCGACTTAACCCTAACTCACTTCAGAGACTCAGGGATTGACTTCCTGCCACCAGGGAATAATAGTCTCGTTGACTTAGGATATGCAGACGATATGAACCTTCTAGGCGAGGACGCTGACAAAATGAAGCAGAGTCTTCTAAACACCTTGAACTGGAATCTACGAATATTTGCAATGCGATTCGCTCCTGCTGTCAAATGTAAGATGATGTTACAGGACTGGACTGGACCACACTGACTCACTGCTAGTTTAGCGATAGGGAGTGAATTAGTAGAGTGTGTTGACCGCTTCACTTAATTGAGAAGTACCATCAGCCCCAACGGGTTGGTCTCTGACGAAATCTCAGCTGAGTACGGATACAGAGGGCTAGTTTCGCATACCCCAGTTTACGCCGTCTCTGGCGTAGACGAGATATCCGACTATCGACCAAAGGGTGGGTGTACTGCTCATCAGTCTGCTCCGTTCTTGGCTGTGACTGAGACCTGGCCATTGAGAGTGGAAGACATGAAAAGCCTGGCTGGCTAGCTAGCTGTCTTTGGTCATAGGTGCCTAAGTCCTATCTACCGTGTGTGTGTGTGTTAGGTGGTGGTATTATAGGGTGAGTAATATTGAGGTTAGGCGTCGAGTGCTAGGTAAGGAGGGGAAATAAATCGACGAAGTGGTTGTGAAATTACATCGATTGAGATGGTTAGGATATGTGTTACGTATGCCTAGCCATCGTCATCCTCGACAGGCAATGTTAGCTGACATACGGTCAGGTTGGAAAAGAGTTAGCTGCAGGGGGTGGTCAAACCAAAACACGGCTTCGTCAGTCAATGAAATCCACAACAGCTAGTTTAAGCCAGCCACCCACCCACGCAGGAAGATGTAGACTTCCTGACTGGTTGGAGTCCTCAAGACGGTAAATACCAATCACCAGCTGGAGACAGTCGGTGACATGGCTGAAAATCGTCTTAAATGGCGTAGATGCATCCACTCCTTGTGACTTATGATTTCCAATGAAACTATATTATTCTTCGTTATTAAGATTTCTTTCTCTCACACCTCTGTTTACTGTCTCTATTATGCATTTCTTCTACTTTCTTCTCTTGCTTTGTGTGCTACATGTTGTGCTACGCATATGAACTACCGTACATATGTGTAAAGTTCTATGTCGAAAACAGACAGACAGAGACTACTGATCAGTACAGGAACTCAACTATCGTTGAGTTGACAAATTGTGAAAGCAAAGGTTGGGTGGTTCCAGATAGTCTAAGTTTTTCAATGTAGGTTAGACGGAATACTTTCTTAGAAATCGTTAGGATATGAGATGACCAAGTTAGGTCGGAAGATAGAACTAGACCGAGGTATTTTGCGTTAGATTTAGTGAGAAGTCGTCACCAGTAGGGTGCGGCAGGTCGGGTGTCAGGACAAATACTCGCCGAAGACATTGGCTGGGGTCGCGCTATGTCGTGAATTGGCAGAAGTTGGAATTCGTGGGCCATTGGATCGGGTCCCAGTGGCTTAATGGTATACGAGCTCGCCTTGTAACCGGAAGGTCCTAGGTTCGAATCCCGGTGGGTGCGTACTGATGAAGAGTCCCAAGATAGGACGAAACAGCTGTCCCAGCTGGTTTTCCAATGGTTCTCTAACTAATGTCAGCTCATGATGAAAATCCTGAAATACTTCCTTTAGTTGTTTGATTTCGTTATTTAAATCCTCCGGCTTACTAGTTGGACTCTTAGCCCGATTATAAAGACATTTCGCTGAACCTATCTCTACTGATTCTGGATGGGATGAATTAAAGTTTAAGTGTTTTGTATTAGAATGCGTCAATTTTCTGTAGATGCTAGTATCTAACATCCCACAATCTTGTTTTCGTCTTATTCTAAAGTCTATCATAGCCAACACTCACCCTGTGTACGGTCTTCGAAAATTCTGTCATCATTTTCATCCTAACAAACAAAGGTTATTCCTTCACATAGGTTTCATCACTGTATGCTGCAGAAGTCAATACATGATACTCTTCATGCTGAATTGAGGCAGATATCATCGGATGGACCGACAATACACAAAATACATAACACTTTGTCTACACTCTTGTAATTTAGTTGGCTGATACCAATCAAACTAACAAATTACTGCATTAAAGAGACCAAGGACTGATATCAGCTAGAAGACCATTGAAAACCAGCACTGGAGTGCTGGACAGCCAGCTGTTCCGTCAGCTTTGTTTGGGACTCACATCATCAGTACGCACCCACTGGGTTTTGAACCCAGGACCTTACGATTACAAGGCTAGAGAGCTCGTAGACCATTCAGCGCCACCCGGACTCGACTCCTCAATGACCAGTCCATGAATCCTAACTTCTACCAATTCGTGACTCCAGCGCGACCACTGATATCAATCCGTGGTCTCTACAAACTAATTCTTGAAAATTAATCTTATGCTTGCTAGTGACCAACTACAGAACGAAGTCTCCTGGAGTTATAGTGAGAAGTCGTGACCACCAGTGGGGCCTATCCAGTTGGGAGTGAGGATGGAGTCCCCTCCAATGACATTGGTTGATGCCAATCACGCTAAAATCACGAATTGATAGAAGTTAGAACTCATGGACTGGTCATTGAGGAGTCGGATCCCAGTGGCTGAATGGTCTACTGGAAGCTCCTGGGTTCAAACCCTGGTGATGGGTGCGTACTACCGATGTGTTCCATACTAGGCTGCGGCAACAGCTGGCTGTCCAGTACTCCAGTGCTGTTTTACAGTGGTCCTCTAACTGATATCAATCTCTTGTCTAACCTGAAAATAAATAAACAATATTGTATTGTGCAACACAGAATTACAGGTTTACTAAAATAACACATTCACAGTTTGACTGTATGGAGGATTTCATCATGAGCTGACATCAGTTAGAGAGCCACTGGAAAACCTGGGAGTACTGCACAGCTGCTGTTTGATCCTGGTTTGGGACTCTTCATCAGTACGCACCCACCGAGGTTCAAATCCAAGACCTTCTGGTTACAAGGCGAGCTCGTAGACCATTGAGCTCAGCTCATGATGAAATCCTCCATACAATCAAACAAAATCTCTACAAAACCAATACTTGAAAATTAATCTGATGCTCACTAGCGACTGGCCCTATTCAGGCAGTTAATCTGGGGTTCTAGTGGGAAGCCGTGACCAGTAGGGTACAGCAGGTTGAAGATGAGGCAGTAACTCATCGAAGAAGACATTGCGAAATGGTCGCGCTGTGTCGTGAATTTGCAGAAGTTAGAATTCAAGGACCATTGGATCGGGTCCCAGTGGCTCAATGGTCTACGAGCTAGCCTGTCTTGGAACCAGAAGGTCCTAGGTTCGAACCCCCGTGGGTGCGTACTACTGAAGAGTCCCAATCTAGGACGAAACAGCCGGTTGTCCAGTACCCCCAGGTTTTCCAATGGTTCTCTAACTGATGTCAGCTCATGATGAAATCCTCCATACAATCAAACAAAATCCCTACAAAACCAATACTTGAAAAAACATTCACAGTTACAATAACATTAGGGAAGCAAAACACAACTGAAATCTTACATTTGTCACCTGTAATCCAAAATCATTTGTACTAAATACAGTAATAAGTTGTTTTAAACGATCTGCAGACCAAGGCAATACAGCTCGTGGTCCAACAACCATTGGAATAAGCGATAGCATATTTTTTGATGACATCATCATATGATTTTGAAAGCTTCGTTTAGCACGTTTAGTACGAATAAATTCTTGTGTTGTCTGAATAACACTAGCTAAACCAATATCTGAGCATTCTTGCTCCGTAGTAGAATTTTCATTCGACAAGAGTGGTGATGGTGATGACGGCGATGAGTGGACATTTGTCTCAGGTTCTGTTATGAAGTCATCGGTGATATTTATGTTTTCGTGAAATGATTCATGCGAAGAAGAAGAGGTTTGTTGTAATTCGGTCAGTGATGGACTCAATTGTCTTACAGATATCCCGTGATTTCGAATAGCTTCTTTATCTAAACTTGAAAAATCATAAGCTAAACAAACATGCGGTGGTTTATTACTTCCAGATAAAAATGAATGTCGTGTAGTCAGCTTTACGTTGGCGGGTTTTTTCTCTTTGCGCAGATCTGTAGCACGTCTTGACAGTGTTGGTGACAACTGAAGATTGGATCTTATTTGCTTTTCTGCTGATGAAGATGTATGTGGATCACCACCACCACGACCATCACCGCCGGAAGTAGTAGTGGTCGTGGTAGCAGTAACAACCGCTTCAACATACTCAACTTTTTGTTGTTGTACGTGAACTGTTTCATTTAGATCAAATTGTTGTGTATCTAATGAAGAGTTGACATTGAATGCCTTAAACATAGGTTGTTCTGAAATAGATAACAAAATAATAATAATAATGACGCTTCATAACATATTTCTTTCTTTCTTACTGGACAGCAATCAAATTTATCCTGTGTCTCTCTCTGTCGATTAGTCGCCGTCAAAGAGAAAGTGTAGAAATGTCTGTCTGTCTGTTTTCGACATAGAACTATACACACATGTGCAGCAGATCAGGTTGCCACACTCCCTCTTTGTAGCACACAAAGCAACAGAAGAAAGTATAAGAAATGCAAAATAGAGACAGTAAACAGAGGTGTGAGAAAAAGGAATAGTAGTAACGAACAACGATACAGTTCCATTGGAAATTATAAGTCACAAGGAGTGGATGCATCTCCGCCAACCATTGGCAACGACGATTTTGAGCCATATCACCAATTGTTTCCAACTATTGGTTTTTACCGTCCCGACGACTCCAACCAGGAAGTCTACACTTTCCTATGTGGCTAGCTTAAACCAAATGTTGTGAATTTCATTGACTGGTGAAGCCGTGTTTTGGTTTGACCACCACTAGCCAACTCTTTTTTGCAACCTGACCCTATATCAGCTAACATTGCCCGTCGAGGAAGGTGATGACTAGTCATACGTAACACATGTCCTAACCATCTCAATCGGTGTAACTTCACAGCCTCGTCGATTGATTTCCCCTCCCGTCTACCTAGCACTCGACTCACGCCTAACCTCAATATTGCTCACCTAATTATACCACTTCACACGGGAGATAGAACGCAGGCACCTAAGATCAAAGACAGCTAATCTTTTCATGGCTTCCACTCTCAATGGCTACGTCTATCTCACAGCCACAAAGGAGGACGAAGCGGACTGATGAGCAGTACACCCACCCTTTGGTCGACAGCCAGGCGGATATAACGTCTATGCCAGAGACGGGGTAAACTGGAATATGCGAAACTAGCCCTCTCTATCCGTACTCAGCTGAGATTTCGTCAGAAATTAACCCGTTGGGGCTGATGGTACTTCTCAATTAAGTGAAGCGGTCAACACACTCTACTAATTCACTCCCTATCGCTAAACTAGCAGTGAGTCAGTGTGGTCCAGTCCAGTCCTGTAACATCATCTTACATCTGACAGCAGGAGCGAATCGCATTGCAAATATTCGTAGATTCCAGTTCAAGGTGTTTAGAAGACTCTGCTTCATTTTGTCAGCGTCCTCGCCTAGAAGGTTCATATCGTCTGCATATCCTAAGTCAACGAGACTATTATTCCCTGGTGGCAGGAAGTCAATCCCTGAGTCTCTGAAGTGAGTTAGGGTTAAGTCGATGAGTACATCTATGATGAAATTGAATAGAAATGGGGATAATGGGCATCCCTGACGGACACCACTAGTCGTCACTAGTTCAGATGACAACTCGCCGTAAGCCCTCACCTGGCTGCATGAGTGATATGTATCCACATATATGTAATTATGTGTGTGTGTGTATGTTGGTCTCTCTTTCTGTTTGCTCTCTTAGTCTGTGACCATTTCACTTGTATGAACTTGTCTCCTTTAATAATGTGTATTCTCCTTATATTATATTAGATATAATATGAGTGTTTGTTGACAGTCCGTTGCTTGGTGACATATATCCATACATGGTGGTTGTTGACATGTCTGTTATATTTCGCTATGTATATGTGGATCGATACTTCATTATAATTAGCCATTCATGTTAAGACTGTCTAATGATTGTTCACACCCTTGTCATATATATTTCGCTCACACTATTTGTGTGAACTACTTTACTGACTTACCACTTTGGTGTGAGACCATTTATTTTCGTCTCCTTGTGTTTGGACAATAGAAGTATCATCGCAAACCTAGTGGTCTTCTGATTTCCGCCTTCTTGCGTCAGGACTATTAGTTTCTCGACCAGTCCATAAATATAATTTAGCAACGAGTACATAACAATTTGGCAACGGCGAAAACTATGGATCATTCTAAATTGGTATTGCTATTTGAACAACAAATGAAATTAATGGAAATGTTCGTCAACCAACAGACTGGTCCAGCTTCACCTTCAAGCAATCCCAATCATACCATGCTACCATCTGTCGACGGAATTGTGAACAGTATTTCACAGTTCAATTATGACCCAGAGGCTAATGTCACTTTTGACACATGGTATCAACGTTATGAGGATTTATTCACTGTTGATCTCGCCTCACAAGACGATGCCTGGAAGGTGCGAGTGTTGTTACGTAAATTGGGTCCGGCAGAATATGAACGGTACTGCAACCTAATTTTACCCCAGAAACCACGTGACAAGTGTTTCGATGATACAATAAAGCTGCTGCGTGAACATTTTGGAGACCACTCCTCATTATTCAGCATACGTTATCGTTGCCTCAAGCTGACAATGAATGAAAATGATGATTTTCTTACTCACGTTGGCACAGTCAACCGAGAATGTGAGAGATTTCGACTCAGGTCCTTAACAGATGATCAATTCAAAGCCTTGATTCTCATATGCAGTCTTCAATCTCCTCGTTTCACAGATATCCGAACTCGACTGCTCAATCAGCTAGAACAAAATCCCAAGTTAACATTACATGACATAGCTGATGAATATCAACGGCTGATTAATCTGCAGAAAGACACACACCTGGTCGAATCAACACCTCCGAGAAGCTCTGATATTCGTGCATTACGCAAGAGCAAAAATCTCTCATCATCTACTCCTGACCCACCTACTTCTCTAATGTTCCGCGGAAATCTACAGATACTCGTCCAACTTCACAAAATACGGCAAAGAAGACCCCACCATCACCATGCTGGCATTGTGGCGCGTGGCACTTTGTAAAGTCTTGTCCATACAAAAATCATCGTTGCAGCAAGTGCAAGATCATCGGTCACAAAAATGGTTTTTGTCAGCCACGCAAACCCAGATATCATAATCCAGCAAAAGCTCGACAAACTGTTGGTCCTAAATCCCCAAAAAGTCATTGAGTCTACGCGCAACCTGTCAAGTCACAACACCAGGTATGCGGAAATATCTTGATCTTCAGATGAATGGTCATGATGCACGTCTGCAGCTAGATACCGCCTCTGATATTACTGTTATATCAGAGAAACTTTGGAATAATATTGGCAGACCACCTATCACCAATACTTCCCAGTCTCTTGTCAGCGCCTGTGGTGGGTAGCTCAAACTAATTGGTGAACTCAAATGTTCTGTTTCCTTCCGCAATACCAAATTCACAGGAATTTGCTACGTCACCAAGAGTGATTTAAATCTTTTGGGACTTGATTGGTTCGATCGTTTGCATCTGGCTGATGTCCCACTAAATTCGCTATGCAATGCAGTCAAGAAGCATAAAATGTTAGACAATTCCGGACGAAGCCGAAGCCGCAAACCCAACAGCAGACGAAACGACAGACGTCAACAACAAGCTCAAAGGTTCCAGATAAACCCCCAGGTAAACATCCTACTAATCATCCATCTTCTCAAAAGGGGAGGTGATATGTATCCACATATATATATTTATGTGTGTGTGTGTATGTTGGTCTCTCTTTCTGTTTGCTCTCTTAGTCTGTGACCATTTCACTTGTATGAACTTGTCTCCTTTAATAATGTGTATTCTCCTTATATTATATTAGATATAATATGAGTGTTTGTTGACAGTCCGTTGCTTGGTGACATATATCCATATATGGTGGTTGTTGACATGTCTGCTATATTTCGCTATGTATATGTGGATCGATACTTCATTATAATTAGCCATTCATGTTAAGACTGTCTAATGATTGTTCACACCCTTGTCATATATATTTCGCTCACACTATTTGTGTGAACTACTTTACTGACTTACCACTTTGGTGTGAGACCATTTATTTTCGTCTCCTTGTGTTTGGACAATAGAAGTATCATCGCAAACCTAGTGGTCTTCTGATTTCCGCCTTCTTGCGTCAGGACTATTAGTTTCTCGACCAGTCCATAACAATAATTTAGCGACGAGTACATAACAATGAGTACGAGTAGAGTCCATTGATCAGTTCAATGTATTTTCTCGGCATTCCCTTTACAGCCAAATATCGTAGAAATGTAGCAATATGATAGAGTATAACTACTGCTCAGCAAAGCACTTCGCTGCGTCCTCCTTTATGGCTGTGAGATAGACGTGGCCATTGAGAGTGGAAGACATGAAAAGCCTGTCTAGCTAGCTAGTTAGCTGTCTTTGATCTTAGGTGCCTGCGTTCTATCTCCCGTGTGAAGTGGTATAATTAGGTGAGCAATATTGAGGTTAGGCGTGAGTCGAGTGCTAGGTAGACGGGAGGGGAAATCAATCGACGAGGCTGTGAAGTTACACCGATTGAGATGGTTAGGACATGTGTTACGTATGACTAGTCATCACCTTCCTCGACGGGCAATGTTAGCTGACATAGGGTCAGGTTGCAAAAAAGAGTTAGCTAGTGGTGGTCAAACCAAAACACGGCTTCACCAGTCAATGAAATCCACAACAGTTAGTTTAAGTTAGTCAGGTGTAAACTTCCTGACTGGTTGGGGTCCTCGGGACAGTTAACAACAATCACCGGCTGACGACAATTGGTGATATGGCTCAAAATCGTCGTTGTTAATGGCTGCCGTTGGCGGAGATGCATCCACTCCTTGTGACTTATAATTTCCAATGAAACTATATTGTTCATCGGTATCACTATTCCTTTTGCCTCATATCTCTGTTTACTGTCCCTATTATGCGTTTTTTTCTACTTCCTTCTTCTCTTGCTTTGTGTGCTGAGTGAAGTGTGGCGACTTGAACTGCTGCACATATCTGCAAAGTTCTGTGTCGAAGAAAGACAGACAGTTATATTTGATTTATTAGAGTAATCATGAGTAAATCAATCAATAATGATGAGTAGACTAAGTGGTGCTAGGGAGAAACAAACATGAGAGAACCAGGCAGACTTTAGACCAGGAACAGAGTGTATTCATCATATTTTCCCTATTCGACAGATTCGAGCGCATAGCTACATTTACCAACGCCCAATTGACAAACGTCATATTTCTTGGCCTGGAAGCGTTATTCGATTCCATCAACCGATAGGTATTATGATGATGTTTGCCTATGGAGGGTACGTCGAGAAAATACATCGATCGCTCTGATCAAGGCACTCACTCTACACGAAGTCATGCAGTCATGCAGCTAGGTGAAACCCTACGGAGCGTTATCATTTGAAGCGGTGACAACCACAAGGGGTCCATCAGCGATGCCCACAGTCCCCATTCATCGATATAATATGGTGAACAATAGTGAGGTTAGGCTAGCCACTGGTGGTCGAGTGCTAGGTAGGTGTAGGTAAGGCGGGGAAATCAGTCGACAAGGTGGTTATGAAGTTACATTGATTGAGAGATAATTAGGACATGTGTTACGCATATCATCGTGTAATACTATCGATCACCTTCCTCGACCAATCGGCAATGTTAGCTGACTGACATAGTATGATGGATAAGGTTGAAAACGAGTTAGTTAGCTAGTGGTGGTCAAACAGAAACATGCCCTCATCAGTCGATGAAATGCATGACAGTTAGTTTAGGCCAACCAGCCAGCCAGTCACGTCGGGAGCTATAGACTGTCTAACTCTCTGGTTGGGGTCCTCGAGATCATAATAATAATAATAATAATAATAATAATAATAATAATAATTTGCTTTATTCCAAAACAGTACTTGTGATACACAATGGAATTCTCAGCATTTCACTACAGTATTGCATCCAGTTAGTACATTATCAATAAACAAAACTCTACGTAGATTAAGGTAATGTCAGTTTCTTTATGACAACAACATATTGACATGTCGGTAGCAAAGCTAAAAATTGAACAGAGTGTTTGAAGGTGTTAGAAAAGTAGATGCTAACTAGCATATTTACTGGCGTAAACAGAAGAAAGAAACAAAGCAGCGCATAACAGAGAAAAAAAGAGATAGAGAGAAAAGGAAAAGAAAGAAAGAAAACGTTGTACCTATAAATGATATGAGTTGGAAAGACGAGATCCAGTTGTTCTACTGACTATTTAATAAGTTATAGGTATCACGCCTATCGCACAGAACACGAGCTAAGTAAGATATGGTTGATTTTGTGTACTCGCTAGTGAGAGCATATAGTTTTCTATATAGGCTTCTGGTCTTGTCTGATGAGATACAAGGGGAGAGTTGTCAATGAAGAGAATGATGTGAGTTAGATAAAATGGAATGAGCCCATTTTTCACATGAGTTGAAGTGCCTGTCAACCAGAATATTAACAAGTTGGTTAAGTGGCACCCTGTGGCCTACCCTGCTGACAACCTTTAACATCCTGCGTAATAAGATATAGTCTTTCTTCACTAGCCCCGGAAAAACTAAGGGGGAACAATAGAGAATAATAGGCAGGATGCAAGAGTTAACGAATCGTGGGAGTAAGGGTTGGGTTATTCCAGAATGTTTTAACTTCTTGATGTAGAAGGTAGAAGGGAATATTTTCTTAGAAATCATCAAGATATGAGACGACCAGGAAAGATCAGCAGATAGAATGACGCCAAGATATTTAACTTCCGAATTGGTTTCTATTTCAGTGCCACCTATGTTGCAGACGTCGTTAGTGCTAACCAGTTTGTTTAGGTCAGATTTATGCCTAAAGGTGAAATGAATTTACAATGAAAAAATATGCCTACGATGAATCTATCGTCGTCTAGCTGATAAGCCGTCAGGGGTTCCATGAGTCGGTGGCACAGTGGTTAGGACTCTCGCCGACCATGCATATGGTCCGGGGTTCGAGCCCACGCCGGCGCACACCTGATATCTATAGTCGGCCTGCAAAATTTGGGCTACCGATATCCATGCTGAAAATTCCATACTTGTACCAAAAATACAGTGTGGAATCAAGCTGTAAATCAAAAAAAATATGATAGACGCTGAAATAGAATTTTAGTGGAAACACTAACACACTGGCTTACATGTGCATTTATAACCAGCTGTAAAAATTTAGACATTTCTCAGATAGAACAATATACTACTGATTGGTTGTGATGAGTAGTTGAATACCACTCACATTAACCAGTGATAACTGCCCACTCACTAGCCCCCGGATCGAAATAACCTAAACACAGGAGAGCCATTTCTCTAGCTTCTGGAGAACTCCATCAGCTGTGTACTCATCCCTTGGTGTGACTCAGCTCAGAGAACTGAACCAGTTCAAACTATCCAATTTATGTCTAGTTTATTTGAGCGAACTGATAAATCTATAAAGCAAATCCGGAATTCGCGAATAATTCACAAAAAACTGATTCTGCAGATAACCTGAAAAAAATTACTGTCAATCAGGTCTAATAGTTTACTTTCTAACGACTTGTAAACTCTTCGTCGTTATTACCAAATTTAAAAAAAAAAGCTCAAATCAATAAAATACATAAAAGTAAATCAGAGATTAAACTAACTGGAATTAGGAAAGTCCACTTCTGCAGCAACATCTCCAGAAATATGCTCAACCATTTCAACATTATCACCATTTACCGGTAAGACGTCAGTCAATGATGGAATATTTACAAGAGAATCTACTTTGGAAGACTTGGTTAACGTGTCCTCAGACGAAAGCTGATCATTTTCATCGTTCTCCAAAGTTATTGATAATTCAGAAAGTTCTTTATCGACCTGCGTTACGGTGAAAGGTGTTTACAACAAGAACGAAAATTGTCAATAAATACTTCGAATATGAAATATGCTTGAAATATTAACAAATCATGTAATTTGAAAGCCGTCCGGCAACGACAGATAACCTTTATCATTATATTATTGCTCCCTTGGGTTCCTAGTGGAACATAGGACTTCAACTGCACGTCTCCACTTGCCACTTCTGTCTTCCTTCTGCTGTACTTTTCACCTGCATCCATCCATGTTAGTCTATACTCTTTCAACTCCTCTTCACACGATCTCCTCCATGTCACCTTTGCACCGACGACCCACTCGCCGCTTCCCTTTCCGGCTCCACTCCAGCAATGGCCTGATGCGCGCGCAATGTCACCTAGCAGCCTCCTTAGCCACGAGTGTACAATCCATCCCCACTTTCTCCTGCATATTTGTTGGCTGGCGATTGGTTCTGGATTTGTTTATTCCCATAGTTTCTTGTTGGTGGTGATTCTTTCCGGCTCGGCCATCTGATTCATCTTCAGTATACATCCAGCGAAGACAGTTGTCAGTGATAAAGGTCTGGTCTGCAACAGGCTGTTGGAAATATTTTTTGTCACCCTTCCACCAAGTTTCTCATCCGTAGAGAAGAACTGACTGACTTGACGTTGTTTGTATTGAAAATCCGACCGAATTTTGTTGTTGATACTGAGTTGAGTGGCGAAGATTTCCAGATTGGTTTCCGGTTGGTTGATGAATGTGTTTCTCGCCTTTCCGATTCTCGCTCGATTTGACATCCTCGTCCGTTCCAACTACCTGTAGTTGAGACAATGCTCCCTAGATAATAAGTGAATGAAGTGACCTCTTTCAAATCCCCCTCGTTGATGGTGATTGGCACTGGATGTTGCTGTTGTTATTGTTGTTGGTTGGTTATTTTCATCACCTCCGTCCTGTCTATGTTCACCTTGAGTCCTGTCTTCGCTGCCTGCTTCTTCGACCAGTTTGTCGGTTTTCGCTTGCTTGTAAGTCTTCGATTTCGTGTGATATCAAACATAAATCATCCACACGCGAAATCCAGGTCTTCTAGGTTCTTCACGTCGGTCGATCCAGGATATCCCTGTCTTCTCGTTTCCAACTGTCTGATGCATAATCCAGTCAGTCCACCACAATTACGAATATCATTGGTGATAATAAGCACCCTTGTCTGACTCCTGTGTTTACTCCAAACGCCTTGCTGAGTTTTCCGTTGTGGATTCCTTGACATGTGCCAATGTCGTACAGCTGTTGAATGAGGTTGATGAATATTTCGGGTACGCCGTAGTACTCGAGTAGTTTCCAAATTACTTCGCGGTGAACACTGGATAACCTTTAGCACATCAGATTATGATGTATACTTTACTCTGATGACATTAAATGGTTATAAGTAAAATCATACGTCAAATAACTAACCAACAGATAAGATAATCACTCGAAAAATGTCGTATCTCTTTCTATAAATCACATTTGAACAAGTAACCAACTTTATTAAATTGTGAGGGTGTAAGCCACTGATTTGGGTACTCACTCACCCGTTATCGACTGAATCACAAGTTTAAAATCCCACATCCCCAACCAAACATGGAGTATAATCATATCTCATACAATAAGTGCTGCTCACTGACAAAGGCACACACTAGTAAATAGTTTCTAGGTCAGATTTCACGGCATAGTTAAACTTTAATCACCAGTAGTAAGTACCAACGGACAAATGATCTTGAACGCACCAATCACATGATACAGGCCATATTAGCGTATAAAATACATATATATATTCATGAAAAAAAAAATAATGAATTATAAAAGGCATGAAACTGTTACACAGGTTACCTTTCTCTAACATGTACCAAAAATACCTCTCACAGTTTTGCATTGGTGTATATCAACGGAGTAATTTAACCACATTCTATGCAGATAATTAACTAAGTCTTTTAATCCTAACAATAATTCTAATTTGTTCTTAGTCTAAAGCTTAACTTATTATTATTATTATTATTTGCTTTAATTCCTAGAGGAACATAGGGCTTCAGCCGCCCAAGTCTTCATTGCTTTCGGTTATCTGCCAACGTTTTCACCCCATTCCAAGTCTGCCCATATGCTTTCATCTCCTCTTCACATGACCTCCTCCTCCAAGTCACCCTTGCACTGACGATCAACTAATTCGCAGCTTCCTTTCGGGTTTCACTCGAGCAATGGCTTGTCTAGTGATGTCACTTGATGGTTTTTTGTCTCAGAGTATGGCCAATCCATCTCCATTTCTTCCTGCCTATTTGTTTCACAATCGGTTCCTGGTTGGTTCGCTCACTACCAAAGATCCCTGTTGCTGATCTTTTCTGGTCATCTGATCTTGAGTATTGAGCGAAGACAGTTAGCTGTTAATGAAGGTCTGAAGTTTGTTGGAGATGCTCTTTATCACTCGCCAAGTCTCTGATCCGTATAGTAGTACTGACTGACTTCACATTGGAGTTGAAAATCCAGATCTTATTTTTGATGCTGAGTGCTGTCGACCTCCACACAGATTTGAGAGTAATGAAAGCTTGTCTAGCTTTTCCGATTTTGGCTTTGAAATCCTCGTCAGTTCCGCCTGTAGTTGAAACAATGCTTCCCAGGTAGGTAGGTAAAGGAGATTGTTTCTTTCAGGTTCCTCCCATTTATGCTGGCCTGATTGTTGTCTGTTGTTGTTGTTGCTGTTGGTGTTGGCCAGGAGTCTTCATCACCTCTGTTTTCTCTGTGTTCGCCTGAAGTTCTATCTTTGATGATTCTTCTATCGCTGACATGTTGCTTTTCACTTGCATATCTTCCAGTTTTTGGGAAATCAGACATATACCACGTTGGCGAAGTCCATATCCTCCAAGTTTTTTGTGAGGGCCCATTTTGTGCCTGTTTCCTCATTGCCCGCTGTCTGTCACATTATCTAATCTACTGGAATCAGGAAAATCATCGGCGATAGTAGACAGCCTTGCCTCACTCCCGTCCTCACTTCGAAGGCTTCCGTAAGTTTCCCGTTGTGGATTACTTGGCATGCAGCATTGTCGTACAACTGTTGGAAACCTTAACTTAGTCTTTCCCAAACCTAACCTGAAACATGCCAGATATCCCACTTAATAACATATTCGAACGATAAAAAAAAATTTTATTTTAAATATAGTCAAATACATATATTTCTACCTATCTCATGCGAAACAGAACAGTTTGATACGGAAAACAAATAGGAGTTAAAATCCATGGAGGTACGAAAATGACCAATGTATTATGAGAGTGCGAGGACAAGAACTCGCCAGTGATGGCGTTCGCTAGTGCCAGTCGCGCCATATAGTGAGTGAGTGATAGAAGAAGTTGGAATTCATGTACTGGCTGGCCATTGGATCGGTTGAGTCCCAGTGGTCGAATAGCCTACGAGTTCGGCAGCCTTGTAACCGGATGGTGCTGGGTTCAAAACCTTGTGCTGGGGGCATACTGCTGAAGGATCAGTTCCAAACTAGACTGACGAAACAGCTGGCTGTCCATTACTGCCTGATGGTTTTCCAACGGTTCTCTAACCGATGTCAGTTCATCATGAAATCCTGAAACCGATCAAATCTCTGTTAACCAATACTTGACTACCAATTGGTAGATGGGGACTAGCAATGGAATCCAGGATAACGCGCATTTCATCCTATTTGGGACTCGTCACTGGATGTACATTCATTCCCCAGTGAGTGATGGTGTTCCTGTCAAGGCTCAAACCCAGTATCTACAATTTCAAACACCACTTGGGCCACGAGAGCCACTGCCTTTTGTACAACGGATCTTATTGATTAGTTAATTCAATTTCAGATTTTCCCATTGATTGGTTGGACCAAAGTCCTTGATCTCCTGGATTCCACTGCTGCTAGTCATCATCCACCAATTAACTTCAACTTACATGACCAAACATCATCGAAGCAACTGTACAAGCAGCCAACATTTCAACCTGAAACCGAGCACTTCCGTCCAATCAATCGACGCGAAAATCTAAACTGAATTATATGCTTGACGAAAGTGTTGAGAACGGTATCCTAAATATCTTTAAAGGGAGAAATTTCGTAGTGGTTCACAACTTTATTACCCATACACATTACTGACTGAATGTAAAAGCATAAGGTTCACTTACTTGTTTAATTTCTTCGTTTGAAACATCTTCAGCAAGAAATGAACATTCTTCAGTCAATTGATTAGTGTACTTGGTATCACCATCACATAGAACTACAACTTCATCACTGCACAACCAGTGACATGTCATGTGGCATTCTATGAAGTTGAAAAATACAAAATATTATAGTAGGAAGCGACAGATGATGAGCAACATATCAAGCATACATAAATGTTCCAGTTAAAAATATTTATTATTATTGTTCCCTTGGGCTCCTAGTGGAACATAGAGCTTCAACTGCACGTCTCCACTTGCCATTTCTGTCTTCCTTCTACTGTACTTTTCACCTGCATCCATCCATGTTAGCTAGTTCATACTCTTTCAACTCCTCTTCACACGATCTCCTCCATGTCACCTTTGCACCGACGACCCACTCGCCGGTTCCCTTTCGGGCTCCACTCCAGCAATGGCCTGACGTGCGCGCAATGTCACCCAGCGGCCTCCTTAGCCACGAGTGTACAATCCATCTCCACTTTCTCCTGCATATTTGTTGGCTGGCGATTGGTTCTGGATTTGTTTATTCCCATAGTTTCTTGTTGGTGGTGATTCTTTCCGGCCCGGCCATCTGATTCATCTTCAGTATACATCCAGCGAAGACAGTTGTCGTTGATAAAGGTCTGGTCTGCAACAGGCTGTTGGAAATATTCTTTGTCACCCTTCCACCAAGTTTCTCATCCGTAGAGAAGAACTGACTGACTTGACGTTGTTTGTATTGAAAATCCGACTGAATTTTGTTGTTGATACTGAATTGAGTGATAAAGATTTCCAGATTGGTTTCAGGTTGGTTGATGAATGTGTTTCTCGCCTTTCTTTCTCATCAATAAACTTTCCTGGATAATCGTTTTCACTCAGCAACCGTTTAATATTAACCTCGCCTAGATTACTAGCTCGCCAGTTTTCTAGCCGGTCCCAAGCCCGAATAAAGAGGGAGGATTGGAGCTTGGTGCTAGCAGCTTCACCCCAAAACTTAACCAAATTGCTACGGAAACTTCAACGCATAAATATATTAAAAATACTTCAAATATGAACAGTAACCTTATTTTCGCTGGAATCGGGGAAGTGAAATGACGAAGGCCGGTGAAATCCTTCGGGAAACTAGTCAGCCGATGTGCCTTCTTTCGATGAAAGCAAAAATACGGATGGGAACGTGGAATGTTCGTACAATGTACGAAGCTGGAAAGGCTGCACGGGTAGCCGCAGAAATAAAAAATACCGCACCATATTATTATGAGGAGGAGATGAAAGCATGTGGGCAGACTTGGAATGGGGTGGAAACGTTGGCAGATAACCGAACCCAATGGAAACGCGCGGTTGAAGCCCTATGTTCCTCTAGGTACTAAAGGAAGCAACAGTAATATATTATTATCCCCTTAAGTTTCGAGCGGAACATAGGGCTTCAACAACACACCTACACTTTGTGCTATTCTCTGCTGCCATTTTCAGCTGGATCTACGAATTTAACAACATGTAGGTCAACAAGACAGGCACTGGGTAGAATATGACATTGCTAAATGAGTCCCAATGATGCATTTTACAATATGACGGTGATGTGACAGTATTACAATGAGCTAGAATGTGTGAAATAATGAAGGGAAGAGGAGATTTTCCGGATTTAAACAATAGACAACAAACAAATCTGCATCATTATCAACTACTGTAAACCACTGCACCAACTCTCTACTGATTCTCAATATCCTGAAGACGTCAGCTAGGACCCAAGTGACAGTATTATACCGTGACGTGTGCTACTGACAGGATTTATCAGTAGTATATAAAGACATTTTCATCGGCATAAAAGACATCAAATAGCGGAGTTATAAATCTGACGTCAAACAGAGCAAACGATTCAGCGTTGCGGCAAAATGTAGGAGATGTGAAAAGAAAGACAAAGAAACACAATACGAAGGGTAGAATTACCACAACACGAAAGATCTGTGCAAATGACGATTTTCAAATAAAGCGTACATAGTTCCCCTATATGGAGGTATTAAATTCCAAATAATCACTTTTTTACCAAGTGTCTTGTCTTCCACTGTTTTAATACCACTTCGAAGATCTGAAGTACCGCGCTTTGGGACTTAATTCAGTATGACTACCAAAACCGTATATTATAGAAACATCCTGATTACAATTACAAGCACTACAACAGTTGGCTTACACATTTAACACTAACCTTTCTGTTTAGTTCAGCAGTATATTTTCTAAAAATAAGTAATTAAATCATGATAAGGAGCATACATTAAAAACAATCCTTTTAGAGATCACTGACCTTAAACAAAAAATAAATCATTGACCTTTAGCAATAGAATAGAAGTTACTTCTAAAACATTTATCAAGTGAACTGGTTTTTGAAAACACTATGATTACATCTACGATTTATAAGGCCTTTTAATAACTAAATGATAACTTTTCAAGAGTTGATTTGTAAGGATTAGACTTTTTTTTCGAGTTTGACCACAGACTGATATCCGTTAGAGAACAACTGAGAACCAGCAGGGAGTACTGAAGAGCTGTTTCGTCAGCCTCGTTCGGAGCTCTTCAGTAGTACTACACACCCACCGACAGGATCCGAACCCAGGACCTTTTAGTTACAAGGCAAGCTAAAATCACGAATTGGTAGAAGTTAGAATTCATGGACTGACCATTGGATCGAGTCCCACTAGCTGAACGGAATACGAGCTTACTAGCCTTGTAACCTGAAGGTCCTGGATTCGAACTCCAGTGGGTGCTTACTGCCAATAATCTCCAAACTAGGGTGAAACAGCTGTCCAGTACTCCAGTGCTGGTTTTCAATGGTTCTCTAACTGACATCACTCAGTGGTCAAACTCGAAAACTAATGAAAAATGGAAAATTTTCCGAATGTCTTTAAATTCCTGTTGCGTGGGTAACTTAATTTCACCAAAGATATTTATAACAATGAAAAATCTTGTCTTTTGCAGGAATTCTAACTACCAACCTATAAAAAAGGGCCTTTATATTCTAAACGATTTCTTTAGCTTATGTTTCGATCAGTTCATCCTGGATCTTCCGTTCCAGCTCAGTCATGAGTATTTATTGATAGAAGTCATTTATTTTGATTTGGGCACTTACAGACAACCTTAATCAAGCAATAACAGTGAGACATATTAACAGAAAGAAAATCCAACCGCCTGCATACTTAAACTATAAGAGCAATTGAAAATGCTGTTTTAGCGGTAACTACTCAACAATCTCACATAGTATAAGGTGTATATTACAACAACCATTTCATGAATGTGACTGCAATCCTCCTAGGCATATGCAGTTATACGAAAGCAAATGAAGCAGAGCTGTACAAAGAGTCAACCTGTGGTCTACAGCAAAAAGAAACATCAAATCTCAATCAAAAGGTTCTCTTTATGCAGAGAATTGCATTGTTCACAATCAATAGAGTGCGTCGTCAGAAACGCACAGAAGATTCAACGAAAGAGATGTATCCGGATTAAGATACAAAGAAGTTGACGTAAAAATAGACAGAACTGGTTTAATCCTACAATCGGTTGCTACAATGTGCTCTTTCCTAAGGGAATTACAGAACCATGTTTTAATTGTTGATTGGGACGTTTTTTATCCTTACCAGTTATTTAAAATGAAATACCAGTCGGTCAAGATAAGCACTAGCTGAACTGCCAGTAACCTTTACGCGAATTACGTGTTGAAGGTAGTCTTAAGACAGCAGTTATGAATAAAGTCTTTAGAAACCAGTAGATACCTTGTAAACAGCATGAGTATCTAGTGAACTGAGTCGGGTCAGAAAGCTATGTAACTGGAAACACTAGTGGGATTTACGGTATTATGCGTCAAAACAATCTTGAGTCAGAAACGAAGACAATCTAAAACCAGTGCAGGTAAAATTTTAATAAATGGAGTTCATTTTGAAAATATACTGGGGAACAAACGTAACAGCATGCTTGCTAAAGATATTGGGAAGGATTTGTTTACCCGGTTACACAACACAGCATTGCATCATATATTGTAAAGCTTGTAAGTTTCCAGACCGTAGATGTTATGAATTTCCTGGAATAAATATAAACTATTTAAAATAATCCCAGTGTGTTTCCGAATTTTTTTAAACACGCTGGGATCAATCTAAATAATTTTGTAAGGCTTGTATGTTTTCAGAAATGAAGCCAAGCCTGCTTCTCCTGTACAGGGACAAAACTGTGGTACACGGACAGTAGGAACCCTAAAAGAACTATGATCCGTCGGAGTGGATGTTACATCTATTAACACTAATTCGGCAAAATAATTACGACCCTTGGAGAGCCTATGATCCTTAAGATCAAACACACTTCCGCATACACTTCTAACTTCAAATAAACAAAGTGAAAAGAAACGGAATATAAAAACAAAACAGAGCGTTTATGCAACAACAAAAAACTCACTCTTAAAACGATGCTAATAATAACCATTCTAACATATGCAATTCGTAGAAATGGAAACTATACATCACAAAATTCCTAGAATAACAGAAACAGAAATCCCAACCACAATTGCGGTAAAGTAAGTTTAAGCATATATGGAGGATGTACTATGAACAAAAGACATGTTCCGAAGACTAATTTTTATCACTTGTGAGTAAAAACTAAATAAATATAATATCTTACTTGCACATTTTAAACACACAGGCCGCCATCCTAATTCCCAAATAGGTTGACTGCAATGATCACAAAATGTATCGCCTTCGAGAGGAACAGGGCAGAATAAGTGGCCATTTTCTGAAGAACTCTTCTTCTGGGATGCCTTTACAGGACTAATCAACCCAAGTTCTATGGACTCTGGTCTGCACTTAGAATTCACGAGGGGTTGTACTCTATGTCCCGCCAAATCCAAGGAATCAAAAACTGTAAACCCCCTGAAACTAGAACGAGGACAGTAATCTTTGATTTTTGCATAACCATCTGCGTTACAAACACTATTTCTATATGCAGAAACGGGATGGTGATGATTGTTAATATTAGAATTCTCTTGTGTATCTGTTTGGGGACTATCCTTCGTTTGACTGATTTGGTTTGAGTCATTATTTATTCTTAAAAAATTTGAAAATGCCTTTTTTACTTCCAACATCATTTCCAAGAAGTAGAGTGCAATCATAAACCCAACATCTAGGAAATCTGGGTAGGAAGTAGCGCACACGCTGAATACGGGCGCCTCTGATACCCAATATCCAATGTCGTTTTAACGAGCTGGTATAATTTTGAATAAGGCATTAAGAAGACAAATTTCGCGAGATGATACCATTTCGTAGTTTCTTTACAACCGCTTTACAACTAACAATTTATCAAAGGGACCAATTGTTTTAATTTTCTCAAACGAAGGCTCCCGAGCTAGTATAAACCAATTTGATTTCTTTGTGCTCGCTTCTTGATTGTAAGGTGCAGGTTCCTGATCTTCGATAAACTTCTGCGTAGCTCGTTCCGCCACTCGACCGTCGTAGCTTTGGTTGACTCCAAAAGGAGTAGTGCTGGGATTAATTATATATGGTTTGTAGTATGAGGTGTGCTAAGGCTGTTACTACCGTGAATGGATTTGATCCCTTCGCCATTTAGTCCTCCGGTATCGTCGACAAGAGAAAAGAGATAGTAATAATAATAATAATGCTAATGATAGATATAATTAGTGAAGTTATTCAGACTAACAGACAAAAACGGAAATAGGAAAGCGTAACAACAGTCAGCTGATTAAATTTGAAGAATAATATATATGTATATATATATATATATATATATATATGTCGGTACTAATAATTATAATATTAATAAGTTGTCAGGAGAGTAAGACGGGAGAGAATGTAAAGAAGTAAAACGACGAGTTTAATTGTCTACCCCTGAATGGTGTATGCGATTTTAAGGAAACAGGCCATTTGGATGCAGTCCTTGTGTTGCTGCATGGTTGTCCATCCTTCGCTTAAAGACGTCCACAGACGGTGTCATAGCTACATCTGCTGGTAAGTAATTCCAGGGACGGCAAACCCACAGTTAAAAGAAGTGGGAGCGCACCCGGGTCCTTGCCCTCTGGTGAGCTATCCTTCTGGGATTTCCACGAGGGAGCCTAGGCCTACTCAATGTTTGGGTGATTCTGGTCATTTGTTATTTTGTAGGCAGTAATCAAATCCCCCTAAGCCGACGGAAGCTAAGTATAATAATAATAATAAGTGTGAACAGGCCTAATTTTTCCAGTCTTTCATCATATGGTTTATTTCGGAGACCAATCACTCCTTTAGTTGCCCGTCGTTGAACTCTTTCCAATAGGTTGGCGTCTCTCCTCAGCATTAGGGTGCAATAATACTATGCACCTCGAGGTGTGGCCTGACGTACGTTTTGTACAACCTTAGAAAGAGCTCAGGAGTGAGTGCACCTAAGTGTCTATGCGTAAAGTGTATGACCGCATATGCCCTAGCTCCATTTTCCGTTAGGTGGCACAGTGGTTAGGACTCTCGCCGACCATGCATATGGTCCGGGGTTTCAGCCCCTACCGACGCACACCTGATATCTATGGTCGGCCTGCTAAATTTGGGCTACCGATATCCATGCTGAAAATTCCATACTTGTACCAAAAATACAGTGTGGAATCAAGCTGTGATCAAAAATAAAATAAGTCGCGTTACGAAGTTTCTCAGGACAAGCTTTCATTGCACAGGGTGTAACTTGCATTCTGCAGTCAACAGGTGCGCAACTTCACTACTTTGCACTTTTTCAGGTTGAAAATCATGCCACTGGCCCAGTCTTCCAAAAGGTTTAGATCTTCCTACAGCCTATCTGAGTCCTCCGGACACTTTATCGTCCTCCAATTCTTTACGTCGTCAGCATATAGGAGAGTCGGGCAGCTTAGATGGCGTGGTAGATCATTGATAAAATCAAACCAAAAGCCTTCACATTTGCTGATATGATCCAAATCGATTTCTTGACTTTTGGAAACAAGGTGATGACTCTTAATATTCAGTAAATGTATTTATTTAGTTCAGTCACTCACCTATCTTAGTTTAAGCAGATCCTAAGAGGGAACTACTGCGATATATTTTCGCGCATACCTTGGGTTATCGTGTCCATGACTAAAGAGGCATTACAAGCGTTCGCTTTCTGTTAAAACGGGATATATTCAATTGTTTTTAGCCTTCTTCAGCCGCAAAAGTCGATATTTTCCTGCATTATGTTCGTATTAGTGCGTATCGGTGCGTCGTGGCACAGCAGTTAGGACTCTCGCCGACCATGCATATGGTCCGGGGTCCGATCCCCCACCGACGAACACCTGATACAAATGGTCGGCCTGCTAAATTTGGGCTAGCGATACCGCATGCCAAAAATTGTATACGTGTACCAAAAATACGGTGTGGAATCAAGCTGTGATCAAAAATAAAATTGTCTTGATATCCCAGAGGAATTCTTACGAAGAAAGGCATGCATGAAATTATATATAGATATGACTTTCGTTTTTGTCTGAACTCCTTTAAGGTCTAACATTTGCCAGAAGTTCTGGATTTTCATATTGTAAATTAACTACAGTCAATGGTTAATTTCATAGGTTATTCTATAAGATTCAGGCTTTTGATACAGAATAAGGCACAGACATACCTATCCTGAACAGCCTAGGCTTTCATTGGTAATGGATGAAATTCTTTGTGACACGTCAAAAAAATCATGTGATGAACGTGATGAGCGGCTGAATTTCGCTATGATTACGGCCATACTGATGAAGTACATAGCTGAAATTGTCCAGCTGATAGACACCCAAAATTATCACCATGTCCAAAAGCTGTTATTTGGCATGTAGTCTTGTCATAATTATTCTCTGAGTGTAGTAGTTTGCGGCGGCGCAGCCAGCATTCACTTATATTGCACCCATTTTGTGAGAGGAAACACTAGCCAATTTCAGAAAAAAGTAACAAACACTTAGCTCCCTAAAGGTTTCTCTTGTCTCACAAGCATCCATTGAGGCCCGCCTATACAAACTTTAACGTACACTTATGAAACTGATTCCTGTACCCGTATTGTACGTTTACAGAAAATAATTTTACATTCATTTGTCGAATATTCACCATTGTTTTACTGAACACTGGTTTTCGTTTGTTACGTAAATGTTTTGCGGTACGTACAACGTTTACGTTACATTTTGGCGCGATTCGTCATATATAATCTTTTTTTGTTGTGAAACCCGCACAAGTTTTCCTCTAGTTTCATACCTGTAACCATTAGCTTTTTCTCTTATTAGTTATGGCCAATCATATAAAAAAGTGACGAACACACTCACCTCTTAACCTGATGACTGATAGCACATTTCTGCTTGCTATAACAAGCATCACACCCCCCACAAAATATTGCAGTGAACCACACACCTTGCCAGTACGCTGCAAGCGCTGAGCTGCCAAGTCACTACCAGAATATCCGAAAACTAGCACAAATATTTTTATTTTTATTTTGATTACAGCTTGATTCCACACTGTATTTTTGGTACAAGTATGGAATTTTCAGCATGGATATCGGTAGCCCAAATTTAGCAGGCCGACCATAGATATCAGGTGTGCGTCGGTAGGGGCTCGAATCCCGGACCATATGCATGGTCGGCGAGAGTCCTAACCACTGCGCCACCGACGGACATTAGTGGCATAAAATTTCAGATCTGTGAACTTGCACCTCTGAACATCCTGAGACGAACCAAAAACCCTAGCGAACTTGATAGAGAACAAGTAACTAAGATAGACATCCTGATAAACTTCATCATCAAAAGACTAGACACTAGACTAACTGTGATGGTCTATAATATACCAGATAATGAGGGGTTGAAAAAGGTTCAAATTATCTTACCTAGGATTGCGAAAATGCCCAACTACCAAACAAAATGTCACAGACTGAAGGAGTCTGTACGACTACTGCTGTTCTATACGCCATCAGTTTGAAACACAGGCAGAGGCTGAGAAATTCATCAATTCACAATGTATCCTATTTCAGGATACGAGAAACAAACGAATAAAAGTTGCAATAAATAGGGCAGTGACTGAGAGGTGCGGTTACAATCACCCCACTAAACCTAGTGGTAAGGAGAGCAAGACGCCGCAAGTCACCAAAATGCATAGGCCCACGGCCAACAACGTAGAACTCTTAGTCTCCCCCCCCTCAAAAACTCACAAAAGTAGCTCCACTGAATATAACATCGGCCTAAAGGCTAGTGGATTATAATCCCTCTCCTAATGTAGCCCCTCTACCTTGGATCAAGATATGTCTCTGGATAGTCCTAAGACAGAAACCCATGCCCCTCGAACGTCGACAATATTCTTTCATAACCATAACGCGAGAGTTAAAGGGGGAATCAACAACAAATCATGTCGAGAGATGTCACCCATAACCAAAAGTTCACTCCATTTACAAGATTTGCTCAGAAGAATTCTCGTTGGAAAGGAAATAAGACACAAAATTACACTAACTTCCACACGAGTAGTAGAAATAAGACCAGACTTTGCTAGGGCAATAACACCAGAATAGAATCGTGTAGTATGTCAGGTTGCACTAGAACCCACACTGAAAGCTGGCGTAGCAATACCTTCACTCAAAGTGGTACAAGTGACAATACTCAAAGCTCAGCTAGCTTCCATTCTGAGTCTTCAAAGGACGGCACAAAAGCGGACTTTGACAAGATAAATGGCTGGGAATTAAACTACGATGCAGTAGTACATATGATGAGGCCCATGTAACAACATATACAGCGCTTCCAAGCAGTGGGTAGCATGATATGTTATGTGCATCACAAGGTACCAATAATTTTTCATCCATCGCTTCCCTGTCAGTGCTGACCAAAACCTGGCAGAGATGTTAACTCTTCTGAACTCGTACCACTAGTATCGGCTCTCTATTGGGAAGAAAACATGCACGGTGTAGTGCACACGTGATTATTAATGAAAACCGATCCCTGTCCAAACATAGGCCAAATAAAAATTGCTACCCATGTTTCCAACCTGCCCAAGCCTGGAACCACCTTATCCAATGGCGAGTCCAATGATGCAACTCATTAATCACTAAAGGTAGCAAGTAGTAACTCGATAGACATAGGTAAACAGGGTCCTGGCACTACCTGAAACACAGGGTTGTTATGCCATGCGGAATCAGTGGATGCCGATCCACAGTTGTGCCTGACCGACAAGCTTAAACATTTCAAGCACCACTTCAACTCTCAAGTCTACTTAATACTTATTAATGCTAGATCTATCCTTAACAAACTACCGATGCTCA